ATGAAAGGAGGGGGTTGGTTTGAGCAGGTGGAGCTCAGGGGCCCCACTCTGCCTCAATTCCAGAAGCTGGCGGGGGGGTCCTTGTACTATTTAAAAATAGTATTAGGAATTGGGGGTCCTCACACTATTTCATTTGCAGAGAGCTCCCCACGTATGGCCAGTTCCTCTTGGCGTTCGTCCGTTCAACATTGGCGCTGGGAGGGTCTCAGTGGAATCTGTCTCTGGTGGGGTCCCTCTGGGCCTGGTGTTCTTCTTGCTCTGTGGACAGGCCAGGAGCCGTAGACCCAGGAGTGGGGTGAGGGCTCTGAGGGAAACAAGGGGCGCTTGGCCTTGGTGCGGGTGGAGGTCAGGCCAGAGTGGGAGGCCGACTTCCTTCCCAGGGGAGGTGGGCCCTTTGTAAGCTGGAAAGGGTCCAAACAAGGAAGGGCCTGTGTTTAACGTGAAGACTGGCGATTTTTAAGTTTTGGAATACCTGCTGTAATCGGTCAGCCCTCAGACAGCATTTTCACGCCTGAGTCAACTTTAATTTCCCCCCTTGCCCCGTGAGGCAACAGCGTTCCGTCTTGCAAGTGATTGCACCGGGGCCTGGGGGCTGAAATGACTTCCCCGGGAGCTCTAATTAGCAGTGGCCGCGCAAGGGGGCCGAGACCACTGGGCGCCCCCCGGCAGCAGGCTGCTGGTGACTGAGGCTAGCGAGGGGTGGGGTGCGTACATGCGGAGGCGAGTGCTGTCCAGACAGGGATAATTAGAATTTATTTATTGAAACCGATGTTTCCCTGCTGTCTGCTCTGTGTCAGGCACGACCCTAGCAGCTTGACCCCCAGACACCGACTTTGCTCCCGCCAAAGCTCCCCATTTCGCGGCGCTGAGAGAACCCAGGTCAGGAAGGAAGAGGCAGTGTGGGAAGCCAGGTTCCCCTGCTTCCTTTCTCCAGTGGCTGGAGAGGGCAGGAACGGATGCCCTGAGGCGGGGGGAGGACAGTGGCCATTTGGGGACCCCTCGGCCAGAGAGGCCACTTTTGTTCCGTGGCATCTGTGTGCTCAGCCTCGTGACCCAGCGGGAGGCCAGGCCCTCCCTAGGAACGGGCCTCCCTCTCCCTGAAAAGCTCATGTGGTCATTGCCAACTCATTTTGGCTAATTTGGTTGTCGGCAGAGGGACAGAACAGCTGGCCCCAGACCTGCTAATTATAGCTGCTCAAGTATTTGAACGAGGTACTGCGTCCCCCATGTCATGCTGTTTTCCTGCAGACAAGCTAACCCTTTCACCTTTGTTCCTGAGTGCCGGCCAGCCTACCCGCCCCATGTATCACCCAGGCACCCCACGTCCTCCAGAGAGCCGCCTCCCCAGGGGGAGGTCAGCATGGGACCTCCACCCCCGTCTTACCTTTGATGCAAGCGTTCAGTGGCTCCACTCCTGTCCCGCTGTTGGCTAGACTCTCGCTTCTTCCTGCAAAGTGATTGGATACATTTATTTCTGTAATTAGGAAAGTCCAGGTTTTGGGTCATGTGTGCACATTCCCCTGTCCCCCACGGCACACCCCACACCTTCTTCCCTGCTTCTGTCCCGGGGCTGAGTCACTTTGCCCCCTTTGGGTCCCTCCATTTTGAGTACTGACTCGGTGCCAGACGCTGTTCTAAATCTTTCAATCCTTATGGCAACCATGAAGCTCTGGCTGTTATTGTCCCCATTTTTCAGAAGAGGAACCTGAGGCTCAGGGGCGAACCTCAAATCTTTAGCAGGCCAGACCTCATTTGCTCACTGGGTCTGACGAAGGCTGTGCCTCCTGCTAGTCTCGGGGACGGGGGCACGACCCACCGAGGTCCGCAGTGGCGCTCCCGTTCAGCTCTCCCCACGGACTCCTGAGCTTTCGGGAAGACCCCAGTTCTTGCCCGTCCCCCATCTTGCTCTCAGCAAGAACAAGAGTTGATATGAGTCTGGGGTCTGGGCCCCTTGCGTGACCCCGAGTAAATCTTTTAGCTCCCTGAGCTTCAACTTCATAGGCGATTCTAAGTAGCATCTTCCCAGGCTGGTGGTCCTTCCCTCACCCGGGGCCCCGTCCAGGGGCTCCCCCGTGCTGTTTGGTCCTACCCCCTGGTGTCCGTGTGCATGTGCGACTCCATGGTCCCACCCTCTGTTGGCACACAGTGGGGCTGCGGGCAGCAGGTGAGGTCCGAGAGGTGGGTTCTCAGAGGTGGGTAGAACTCTGAGCGATTTCCTTTCTCCCCTCCCAGGTGGCTGGAGGTGAGACTGTGCTTCCCCCCTCCCTTCCGCCCCGCCCGGAAGGGAGCAGGTGCCTGGCCCAGGATCGAATCGAAAGGTCTGCGTCATGGATTTATTTTTTCTGAGTTGTAAATTTGGACAGTTTGTAAGTGTGTAGCCCCCTCGGGATGGAACTAACCTACCCTCTTTATTTTGCAGCTGAGGCTCACTGCCCCCTGGATGGGCAGTGAGTCGTGGGTTCCAGAGGCCAGGCTGCGGCCCCCGTCCCCCCCCGGCCCCTGGGATTGCACCCCTACCCAGAGGGGGGTGGATGCGGCCCTCCTAGGCTGACCTCATAGCAGACCAGGTGTGTACGCCCTGTCTTTACACCACACAGGTTCTGGGGAGGTAGAGACCTTACACTGCGTTAATATGGTAATATTATTAAAAATCCAGAATAATGCCGTTACTCTGTTATATGTAATCAGGGGAGGTGTTTAAACCTCTGATCATGTACACAGGGGTACAACAAGTGTGACCTCTCTGGTGGGGGCTCAAAGGGGGCCCAAGGGGCCTGCTGGGGGGGGGCAGAGAACACAGACTCCCCTGGGTGACTTTTGGTCACATGATGGTCAGTCCCCCTCCCCTTCTGTAGGATGGAGACTGTCCTCTTTAGGCATTGCCTTGATGCCTTAAATGAGATAAAATAGAAAATGCCTGGCACACAGTAGGTATTCAACACAGATAAAAACAATTCTTATTTGAGGCGGATCTGTCCCCTCCCTGTTTGAAAGCCCTTCTCATTTTTCTAGAACCCAGAGGGAGGAAGAGGGGAGAAGAGACAGTCAGGGGTCAGTGTTGGGACCCAGAGAGCCTTTTCTTGAGTCAACTGTGTAACTTGGACTGGCATTGCCTGGATTTATGAGGCCTTCCGTAGGAGCGAACGTCTTCATGTTGCATTACCCTGGCCCGGAGGTGGATGCAGGTGATGTCAGCCCGGGTACTGCATTTTATTTTTCTTTATCCTACCATATTTCATATCTGAAAAACTATGACAAATATCTTAAAGTATTCACCAGGACCAAACCCAGGCCAAAGTAAAATGCTATGTAATAAACAGCAGAGCCTTGTGTGCAGGAAAGGCGATCAAGAGCTGGTCACACTGGCAGAGGGCTGGTTAACCTGTGCTCGCATTTCTTCTGCACGAAGTCATGGTCAAAAATAGATCCCTGCCCGGCAGAGGGGAGGAAAGTTCTAGAAGGTCCCTGTCTGTGCTATCGCGAGGAGTTAGTTGATCTGTGCAGATGGAGGCCAGGGTGAAACCGGATGGGGGCTCACACTGATTTGGGTTGAACGTTGGCTTAGTTTGGTCTTCCGGGGGGGGTCTCAGAGCTTCAGCGTCTCCATCTTTAGATGAGACTGAGATGCTTTTGCTGCGAGTTTAGCCCCGTGCCTGCTCAGGGATCCCGACAGCCTAGACAGCTGGGAGGGGGCCTGGGGAGTTGAGTCTGAAGCTCAGTGAGCCAGCAGGAGTTGAGGTGTCTTGGGGAGAGGGACACAGAGGGGGGCAGGCAAAGACCTGTGGGGTGGCTCCCCTTTGTCCTGGAACTGACGGGTCGGTTGAGCCACACTCCCTCTTGAGACGTGGGAGGGGGGAAGATGGCAGCCGTGGGTTCCGCACAGAAAGCTAGCTGTCGGGGGATGCGGCGAGGCCCCGGCTGTTCACCAGCCAGCCGTGCGCCTGTTGACTATGCGTGGGAGCTGCGGGGCCACTGCTCCTGGAGGCCCGCTGTGTCCCCTTCTCTGGGCCCAGCTCCTGGGACATTCTCCTGGAGTTCTCATTCCAGCTAGCTAATCCCCGAGAACACGGGCCGGGACATTCGCTTTTGGGGCCTCTTAAAGACTCAAAAGGGTGGTGCATTGCAGACACCCCCGCGGGCAGCTCTGGAGAGGGATGTGGGGCCTGGGGGGTGGTGATACTGCAGCCGGCAGGCCTGCACCTGCTGGCCTCCTGTCACTGACACGCCAGTGGGAGGCCCGGGGCTCCGGCTTTAGAACATATAAAATTAAAAGAGGAATGATCTTTGGGATAAAATAAATCCCCTGTGTCTGCAGAACTTGTTTTGGGGAAGTGTGCCCCATTCTGGGCCATCAGCCAAAATGCTCTTCCTTTTGTTTTTGTAAAAAAGGAAAACAAACCCCCCCCAACCACCCCACCAACAAACAAATGAGAAAAACCAAAAAGAAAAAAAGAGAACCCCACACAAAGTGTTTATTTTAATGATGCAAGGAATGTGCTGATAATTAATACACTCATTACTAAAAATCAAACACTACAGATAAAAGCTAAAGCCATCTGCAAACCCTCCCCCACCCCCAGCATATTCACTGCTGTTACCAGTTTCAGGTGTGCGGTTCCAGATATTTCTCTCTGCATTTATGTATGTATATATAAATAGACCTCTAAAATACATAATTTTGTTTATTTTTTACATAAGCTACATCACAGTGTACATTTTCTTCTGCTTATTTTTCTTCCCTCAGGAATCTGCCTGGAGATAATCAAGATCGACACCGTGCCTTATAACACACCTTAGTACCCTGTAATCTGAGCACACCGGGGCTGATTTAACCCCCTCACCACTGTCTCGAGAGCCCCAGGTCCTTACCCCGTGGGGTCAGACACGGAGCACGGGGCAGGTGTAAGTAATTTCTCAGGAGCGGGCTCACAAGTGTTTGTGACATTATCACAAATGAATATATGGATGCATCAATTAGCAAAATAAAAGAGGGACATGCCTGGACCAATGATGACAAAGTGTTTATGAACAAAGGATCATGATAATCCAGTTCTGCGAAAAATACTGAGGTCCATTAAAAGACAATAGGTTTCGGCTGTTTCATTCTTTTTAAGAGCTGTTTAATATTCTGGGGTATGTATGCACCCTTGTTGATTAGACCCTCTTCTATTGTTGAAAATCCCAGCTGTAAGTGTGCTGGAGGGGGGCGGTTGGAGAATGTGTCCAGATAGGAGCTCTGGTCAAAGTCCTGGTTATCTGGGTGGGGTGGGAGGGGGGTGGGTCACAGGTTCATGGCTGCTTGTTATATTATTTAAGAAAATAAATAAAAAAAAATACATAAGATAAAAGTGGACCTCGCCCAGATAAATGAGCACGTCACGAACTGAGGTTTTAATTACTACGATTTTGTCCCACTGATGCCTGCTAAAAAGGACCAAAGCCGTTCCGTGTTTTGTTATTGCTAATGGCCCCGCAACGAGCATTTTTATAGCTTAATCTGTAAGCATGTCCCTGGCTGTTCCTTTATCCCAGCTTCTTGGAGGTGGGGTAGCTGGGTTAAATGGTTCGCAAAGTTTATTTTCATTGATCTTTCTAAAATGCCATTTTGACCTTGTCACTGTCTTGCTTTAAATCCTCCTCCTGACTTCCTGGAGCTTCTGGGATGAGGTCCAAGAGCCTTAGCCTGGCACGTAGGACCCTTCAGGGTCTGGCTGGAAGCTTCCCAGCCTCATTCCCGTCCCCCCACGCGCACCGATCCCTTGACCTCTCTAGGCGCCCCGCGAGCTACCTGCTCCTGTCAGTGTGTGCCCTGCCTTTTTACACTTGGGGGCTTCGGCCTGCCTTCCCAACCAGCTTCTCCTGAGCCTTTTAGACCAGGCTTTGAAATGTACGTCACACTGAACTCCCCCCAACACCTCGTTCAAAAGTCCAACAAAGCATAGTCCCCATAAGTGTGATGCCTCATTGACATGTTTTCCTAGTTCAGGAGAATGTTTTGCATTTTTCTAGAATTCACGAAACCAGCCACATGTTAATCACTCTCTTTCCTTTGTCCCTTTCTAGTGCCCTGGGCTCCTGGGTCGCTCGGATCTGCCTTCCCTTCAATGGAAAGACGTCCTATTCTGCTCCCGAGGACTGAGCTGTCTGCCCGGCGCACTGGGTGAGTGCTCAGAATGCATCAGACCACAAACACACGCCTGGGGGGGGGGGGAACTTCCCCCACTGCCCCCAAGAGCTCTGCCACCTCTGGGGTGCAACACCAGCTTCCCTCCATGCCTGCTGGCAGGACCCCAGAATCCATGAGTAGGGGGCGGTATCATCTCAGGGTCAAGCGTGCTGGTGATGGGTTTGGGGGCATCATTACGGCGTGGAAACGGTTGATTGCGTCTTTTATGGCCTTCTCCTTGCCAGAGGGAAATGGGCCTGGTCCCAGAACATAAGAAGGAGGTAAGTCTTAGCATGTGACAGCAGGGCCACCAGCTGTGGTGACGGCAAGGGCTCTGGCGAGAGGACAGGCTGACAGTGGATGCTACCTTTGGGACAGGGTCGTGTTCTAGAAGGAGCGCAGCCTTCGGGGCAGAGGGACGATGATGCCAGGTCCACATCACCCTGGGGGGCAGAGGGCCTCACCTGCTTGTGGGAGGGACAGAAGTCACCTGACCTGCTCAAGGTTTTGGTCTTTTTTTTTCCTCCTCCAGGGTCGGGGGGTGGGGGGCACCCCGAGAGGCCGGCCATCTTGAGAGCACAAACCCAGCTTCAGAGTGGACGTGAAGTATACGCCTTTGGCAAGCCAGGCCCTGAGAATTCCCATGCCTCGGTTTCCCGATCAGAAAAGCATCTGCACACATCGAGTAGTGACAGGAACCGTGAGACAATAGCACAAATAAATCACCCCACACAGTAGCCGGTGGAAAACAGGAGCCTTCGGGGAGACCCACAGAGGAAAAAAAAAAAAAGCCCGAGAGTGTGAGCAGAATGAAGACCCCCTCTCCCCTCGCCCCAGTGCAGACGCCCCCAAGGGAGACCCTGGCCTTTCTGTCAGCGCCCTGGCAGGGAAGGGGGCTGCCCCCGCCGGGTTTAATTGGGTTCTCCTGAAAAGTTTGGCAATAGTTTATTTTATTTTTTTATAAATATATATAAAATGTCAGACTGCTCTTCAGGCAGATTTTTTAGGCGTGTATTTTATGGACTTTGGCAAGGACGGCTCGGAAGGAACAGTGGTACAGTCTCCAGGGGTTAATAATTCCTGGAAAAACTTCTGGCTAAACCTGACTTCTCCTGAATTTCACAGAAAACGCTCCCTGGGCCGGGCCCAGCCTGAAGGAGGTTTTTGTGAGGCGAGGCAGCCTTACCTAGTACAAGTATGGCTTGGGTGTTGCCTTTTACACAAAAGTGAACTTCCTCGGCCGCCGTGGGGCACAAAGACTCCTCTCTCCTCTCTCCGAAAGGTTGGGTTTATTTACTCTGGAGCGGCTCACCCTGGGGCTGGTTTTCTGCCTCTGTGTGTGGAGCCGCCCGTGCCCCTACCCTGTGGCCCCATGCTTCATGCTGAAACCCCACTCCCCACTTCCTCACGCAGGGAAGGGGGGAGTGTGTGGGGGGGCAGGGGCCAGGGAGCTGGGCTCTGTTTGTGTCTGGAGCAGAGGAAGTATCCTGGGGAGGGGGATAGCGCCTCCTTCTCAGCAGGAGTCTCCTCCCCAGCCAGCCTGCCCATCAGGGGCTAAAGGGTTTGCTGCCCTGTGGCCTTTGGCTGGTTAGGGATTTTGGGTAGGTGACTTTTCAAATCCACACCAGTGCTAACCTGAGCTCTTTCCTGCATCACCAGCTACCCTTGACCAGAAACCTTTCTTTGCAAAATTTCTTAGGTGCGTGACTTCTGTTCCCCACCCCCGCATTGCCCCCCCATAATGCTGCAGAGGCAGGAACGCATATGCAAATACCACTTTACCAAACATTTGCAAATCAACACTTTCAAAGCAATCCTTTAATAGATTAAAACAAGAACAGTGACTTAATCACAGAAACCCCAGGCTCTGAAAAGCAGTTTCCCCAAGGTCTCCCAGCAGCTCCCAAGCGGGGCAGCGGGGGCAGTCTGTTTGTCTGTCTGTGGGGAGCCAGCCTGCACTCTCCACCTGCAACACGATGCTGCCCCCCCACGGCGGGTCAGAGCAGCTGTCGGGACCCCGACAGTGCCCGGGGCGGAATGTCGGGAACGGGACAATTAGGTTTGCAGCGACAAGGGGCTCCATCCCCAGGTCCCCAGGTGCTTCTGCCCTCCCTGAATCTTACAGTCTTACTGCCCCATGAAAGTGCGTCACTGCCTCGAGAGGGTGAGCTAGGGCAGCCTGGTCATTTCACAGACAAGGAACCCTGGGCTGGCCCCTCAGCCAGCCTCTCTCTCTCTCTCTCTCTCTCTCTCTCCCCCCCCCCCCCCCACGCGCGCGCACACACACACACACACACACACACGCACACACGTGTGCACGCGCTCCCTGAGCGCCTGCACTGGGAACAAAGACAAGAAAACTCCTTTAGAAACTGCAGAACAGAGCCTCGTCTAGCGGGGGTCCCCTGATAAAGGCCCCGTCCACCCAGAGTTCCTGGGAACTGAGCCCCCATGAATGGGCCTGGAGATCCAGCGCCCAGTGCAGCGTGGGCCGCATTCATCAACATGCAGGCCCCCGGGCCCCATCGCCGGGTGAGGGGCTTTCACGAGTCCCCAGAGCATCCAAGTCACGGTCCAGCAGCCTGCTGAATCTGTGGCTGCGGCCCAGCCTCCAGCAAAGGGCCCTGCTTTTCCCATGACCGGGCGGCCTCTCAACTCACCAGACCCCCTCCCCCGACTCCCCCCCCCGCAGGAAGGCTCCCCCCGACCCGCTGCACCAGCCTGTTGCCCCAGAGAGGACCCAGGCCAGCTTTTCTGGGCCTGGGAGCTGGGGCGGGCACTTGGCCACTCCAGGTGGCCCGGCCCTTGAGATGGGGAGTTGGCTGCAGAACAGCCCCCCACCGCCCCGCCGCTGGCCCCGAGCACTCACCCCCATCCTCTGCTCCTCTCCCTCACTGCCTCATTGTGACAGAAGCGCTCCACCAGCCACATCTCCGTGCCTTTGCCATGCAGCTCAGGGCAAGGTACATGGGAAAAGTCTGCGCATCCTTGCTCTGACCCCAGCCTGCCTCCTCCGCAGCCAGCCCCGCTCGGGACTTAGCTCTGTAGGAGCTTCTCAAAGGCCTAGACGTGCGGGCTGCCAGCCCGGGCAGGGAGCCGTGCTGCAGCCTCCCGGCCAAGTACCGGCCTGCCTCTCTCTGCTCGGATGCCTCCCGTAACAGGGAGCTCCCTCTCTCCCCGAGCAGCCCGCTCAGGGCTCGCACACGGAGCTGCTTTGCCGAGCCCTCCCCTGCTTTCTGCATCTGCCTCCGCGGCTCTGCTGCAGCCCCCTCGCCCCCTCTGCCCTCGGCTCTTCACAGACAGCAAGCTCACTTCAGTCCTCTCCTTTCCATGCTGAGGAGCGAGCCCCCCACCCACCGAGGGATCAGATTTGGGGTTCCTGTCACCGTCCCGATCACAGCCGTCTACACCTGTCCTGGGGTGCCTCTGCCCCTGCTCGGTGGGGTCTGGGACTGAGCCCTTTGCCCTGCTGTTCTGCAGAGAGCCCAGGGGAGGGCGCGGGTCTCCCCTCCCAGGTCCAGCTGCTCGGATCTCTCTGTTAAGCGGCGTCTGAGCCCTCCGTTTTTTATGGCCCCTCTGCTAGTTGCCAGGGAGAATGCTCTCTATGCAACCCCCTGCCTTTTCTGCAGGAGCCGCTGGCTGGCGGCTGGCCGGCCCTGGTCAGCCTGCAGCAGCGGCAGCGGCGGCGGCGGCAGGCGCCCGTGGTGGGGCTGGGGGGCTCGCGAGACAGACAACACCAGACCGGGCTGGACTCCCCGCTTCCCAGCTGTGAGACCATGCAATTCCCTTTACTTTTCAGAGCCTCTGTTTTTCCCTGTGCAATAGATACGAGAGGGGCTCCCTCCCCGCGAGATGAAATGAGATAAGAGTCGCCTAGCACACATCAGACACTTCATGAATGCTTATGGAG